GGGCATGAAGAAAATCAGTGCTGGCTGCTGTGCCAGCCTGTGTGGATAAGCATCTGGAACACAGAGCACTACACTGGCAGCTCTCTGCACAGGACAGACCACAACCATGAAACCAGCATTTTTAAAATTTAGTGTCCAAGGAAGAACAGATAGTCATTTGAGCTCTAGTCACTAATACCCAAAGTTGTTAGTAATTCCATCTTTTACACCCAAGTACATGAACTAAAGTGTCTTTGTGTAGGATACACTTTAAGAGGGATCTTGCCACTTTCTGAATTTCACTTTTTATCATTCCTAGTCTAACCATATGAGGGAATTATAACAACCATATAACAATCAAAGATCATCCTTCATCAGATCTCACTGGACTATGCAAAAACCGGTAGATACCCATTTTTTAAATTTTGGAGAAACACTAAAAATGCCAATTGATATAAGATTACCTCCAAGGTCATTAGGTCAGGACAGCCTTTCTGTAAATGCGCACTGAGAAGATAAGGACACAACCAAATGTCATTCTGCCTCACAGTCCCAGCTGTACACATACTCAAATGAACGGGCACATTTGCTGTGCCATCCAGCTGTCTTGGCACATTTTGAAGACATCAGCAAATCTCTTATGCCAGTTGTTCCAAACATTTTATTGTAGGTACCTTTATTTGGTAATAACACATTACCTCTGTTCTCGTAAACCTCATTTCAGGGAGTTACACAGAAATACAATAAAGAACTATTTCCCTTTATGAATATGCTTGAATAGGCCGAAAGTCTACAATTTGCTATGTTCCACTGCTAATTTTAATGAAAGAAACTAATTCTATTGTTCTATCTTCATTTTGTATTGAAAGGGGAATAGCAGACTTCACTAATTTTATTACCTGAGTGAATGATTCCTGGTAAGGTCTGGCTGACGCTCTTGTAGAATTTCGAAGATATTGGGCTGCCGCAAAAATGCAACAATCTTGTCATTGTAAGCTGAAAACATCAACAAAAATATCATGCTGAAACAAGGAGATACTAAAAGACAGGACTACATTCCTTCTGAGTTTTGAACAATAATGACAGCAGACTTCATCTTCACAGTTTTAAGTTTAGCAGTATCATGTTAATAATTGTTTCATGTAAGGCTACCAATTCTACTGTCATTTAGAGAACACGCTTCTTGACTGCAATTCTGTGATTATGAACCAAATCTGATTGTGACACGTCCTTCCCACTGTTAACAGCTCTAATTTTGTTAGCAATTTCTGTTACATTTTATCACTCACACTCTTAGCTAAGGTCAAACTAGAATATTCATTGGTAGAATAAAATTGCGGGGTCCTTGGTTTTCACTGCACTGAAATCCATTCTCAAACATTAATCAGTCATTGGAAACACCCATATCAAATCCTCACTAATTGCTGAGCCTGCAGTGTATGCACACCATGTCCATGGCAAGGGGAAGGATTTAAATTAACAGAGATTTTCAAGTAAACATGCCACAGTACAAAGAGCCAGTTGTAGTCAATTGGATTAATTTATCTTGATTTAGCATAATGTGACAGCTGTTAGATTCAATAATTCTGTTCTTGGTGGCACAGAAGTCAGTAACTTTGTGTGTATGTAACTGAGAACAGAAGTTAAGCTAATGACTAATTCCAAGCTGATTAACACTTTCTGGAATCCTGCCAAAACAGATGCCCAGAAGTTGTACAAAAATCTCTGGGAATACATGGAGTCCAATTAGGACACAACTTGGCTCACTGGCTTCAACTCGTCCTATCGCCACTTACTCTAAGTGAGCTAGGAAGGCAGAAGTTTTACGTTGGTTATTTGGTTCTGCATAGACACTTTTCAGTATTATTCCTGCAGGTTGCAACTGAACGATTGGGAAATGCTGATGGACAGAAGTAATCATAACAAATGATAACTCCCAGCCACCCCAACCAAATGAAAAAGCCAGTAGTGCACACTGACATGACACTCAGTCAGGGAGAACTTCTCTGAAAAGAGGCCGTATGCTGACATACCCACTGGAACCACATCCTGGTACTGAGCTCTGCTGACTGTATTAAATGTGCTAGATGGCCTTGGCAAAACTGGTGGTCCTGAATGACGAGAGTCCTCTCCGACCTGAAAATGTGCAAGTAACCACAATGAGTGTCTCTAGGCCAGTGTAGGTACTCGGGTACATAAAAGTGAAAAGTCATACTGCTTAAAACTAAGCATGTACGTAAATGCTTTGCTTGATCACTACCCCCAGTA